GTTGGATGAAAAAAATATTGGAATCAAAACCGACCAGAATGGAGTACCCGCGTTGATACTGACATCGATCAAGTCTCCTCTGAAATACCATGTGAATAGAGTTTTACCTAAGGCGAATGTTAAACTTCACTATAAACGTTATATGGTATTTGAACATGTAGCGTGAACTCCAATATGTTTTGTTGTAAATAGCATACAAAAGTTCTGTGATACTCACGTCGATCACAATACTAACCGTGTTGCGTTTGTCTCGTGAAGAGCAGAGTGCGACGACAATTTATTGATGCTGTTGAAGTTATCAGTACCTTAATAGTTACATTTAAATATTACTTTCCAAATGTACTGCAAACGTCTTTTATAATAAACAGAGCGCTGAGTCGTTTCTGGTATAACCTGCAAAACCATCAAGAAAATGAGGGGACAACAAGAAAAGTAACTCGCTGGTATCGTTATGAGCAGCTGGTGAATTAAACAGGAATTGCAGAGATGACAAATAGCATTTAGTTAGATGATAGCACGAAGTCTAAGATAAACCTTAATAGATTGCAATTTTTCTTGCAACCGCCTTTCCGGGAAGCCAAGGTAGCAGCATCTGATTTGAATTTTTCATTTTCCTTTTTCGCTTTTCATTACAGAGTTCCGAGTGAAGAGGAATAGAATAAAGCTGTCACTGTATATGCAGCAGCAACATTTTTTACTTTATGCCGACGCATTGGAGGATAATATTATTCTTGGAATTGATTAAAAGAGGAAGCAAGACATATTGCAAGAGGCTATTTTGGGAGAATGTAAGGAGGATAAGAATATAAGACCTCGATAAAGAGTGCTGTAGCTCTAATGTTTGTTCTCACCCTGGGGTGGTGCGAGGAATAAAGAAGCAGTCTAGTCTGCCAATCTTTGACGGCACCATAAAGAACGGAGCTTTTGTAATTCGGTAGTAAACTAACGCTATTTTTCATTGGTTGCACCTTATTTGAGTTTGATATTTTGCATTCTACTGAATTGTTGTCAGACTAATTCTTTCGGGGAAAAATTGGATTGAATAATCCGTAAGAGGAAGTTAGATTACTCTACATTAATAATACAGTGCAGTTAGTTAACTTTAATACCAACAATTGTATGAGGTATACTAATAGAGCTATCCGACATCACTACAACATCGTTTGAATGGTATTCATGTTTCGTCGTTAACAACACCATCATCAGTAGCGTAAAAATGTCTGTACCTTCAGCAACTTTAGGTTCTATGCTGGTAGGAACCTCTTCTGCTTTTATATGTTCTTTTCGTTCTTCTTCGTAACCGCCCTATACAGTAAAACATATATACCACTGACGGCGTGATGTGCACGAGACTGAATGTTCTTCAACAACAGTTGCCTTTGCTTCTTGATGATGTTCCGTTAGTAATAAAAAACATTATCTGGTACATACATAATGGCGCACCAGCACATTTCAATGTAGCGGTTCGTAATTCTTTACAAACTGTTTATCCAAATCGTTCTGTTGGCCGCGGTGGGCCCCAAGCATGGTCACCAAGGTCCCCAGACCTCAATAGTATAGATTTACTTTTGTGGGGCTATCTTAAGACACTAGTGTACACAAGTCCCATTAACACTGTAGAGGAATTAAGAGAAAGAATAATTGCAGCTCGTGATAGAATAAAAAACACGCCAGGGATTTGAATTTTTCATTTTCCTTTTTCGCTTTTCATTACAGAGTTCCGGGTGAAGAGAAATAGAATAAAGCTGTTACTGGATATGCAGTAGCAACATTTTTTACTTTATGCCGACGCATTGGAGGCTAATATTATTCTTGGAATTGATTAAAACAGGAAGCAAGACATATTGCAAGAGGCTATTTTGGGAGAATGTAAGGAGGATAAGAATATAAGACCTCGATGAAGAGTGCTGTAGCTCTAATGTTTGTTCTCACCCTGGGGTAGTGCGAGGAATAAAGAAGCAGTCTAGTCTGCCAATCTTTGACGGTACCATAAAGAACGGAGCTTTTGTAATTCGGTAGTAAACTAATGTCACCAGCTATTTTTCATTTGATTTCACCTTATTTGAGTTTGATATTTTGCCTTCTACTGAATTGTTGTCAGACTAATTCTTTCGGGGAAAAATTGGCTTGAATAATCCGTAAGAGGAAGTTAGATTATTCTACATTAAGAATACAGTGCAGTTAGTTAACTTTAATATCAACAATTATATGAGGTATACTAATAGAGCTATCCGACCCCACTACAACATCGTTTGAATGGTATTCATGTTTCGTCGTTAACAACACCCTCATCAGTAGCGTAAAAATTTCTGTACCTTCAGCAACTTTAGGTTCTATGCTGGTAGGAACCTCTTCTGTTTTTATATGTTCTTTTTGCTCTTTTTCGTAATCGCCCTATACAGTAAAACATATATACCACTGACGGCGTGATGTGCACGAGACTGAATTTTCTTCAACAACAGTTGCTTTTGCTGCTTGATGATGTTCCGTTAGTAATAAGAAACATTATCTGGTACATACATAATGGCGCACCACCACATTTCAGTGTAGCGGTTCGTAATTGTTTACAAACTGTTTATCCAAATCGTTCTGTTGGCCGCGGTGGGCCCCAAGCATGGCCACCAAGGTCCCCAGACCTCAATAGTATAGATTTACTTTTGTGGGGCTATCTTAAGACACTAGTGTACACAAGTCCCATTAACACTGTAGAGGAATTAAGAGAAGGAATAATTGCGGCTTGTGATAGAATAAAAAACACGCCAGGGATATTTCAACATGTGGGCAATTCCATGAGAAGAAGGGCGGAAGCATGCATAGTAAGTGAAGCGGACCGTTTTTAACAATTTTTGTAATCATTTCATTGGTTTTAATGTTATGTTCGTGTTGTCAGTTGTTGTTGTTCATTATCCCTAATGTGTTTGGTTTTTCCAATTAGATTAATAATAATTTTGAAAATTAGATAATAGAACAGTTTTTATTTTTTACTCAAAAATGGCGTATCGAAGCAAAACAATTTAGGAGAGATCAGTTGTTTTAAATAAAACGGGGAACCTAAAAATTATTTTTATTTTGCAAAAAACTATTGGTGTACCATTTTTTTCTTCAAAAATGTCGAAGTCGATAGTACGCACGTCCCTGGTAGAGCTAAAAGTTATTTTTGCATTGAAAAATATGCAGCTTCATAAACTTTCACTACGTACTAAATATCAGTGAAGTATCTGAAGCGGTTCTGAAAATATTAATTAATTTCCATTTTTTTGCTAAAACTTCAACACCCCGAGTTTTTTTAAGGAAACATTGTTGAACCATAGTTTATAAATCAAACTAACAATAATTTTTCATGTAGATTCACATATGAATATTCGCATATCATTAAGGAACACCCTGAATAAAAAGCGCCAATTAGCGGCCATCTGGCTGCCATATTAAAAAATGCTAACAGATTGTACAGCAGTTCTTCAGCGTATCATCCAATAACTATTTCATATACCAGTTTGCCTATCTTATCATTTTGTAAAGGCATTTAGGCAGCACTACATAAAATTACCCATTTTTGTTATAGCTAAACTCAATGTCGAACAGTTAAACTTTACTAAACCTAAATGTAGTTTTCGCTAATGTCGACCTAAACATTCCAAAAATTTAAAATAGATACAGGAGTTTATAATGAAATCAAGTGATACGTATGTTGGCTATAAGGGTGCCATATTTGAAAATGCCGATCAAATTGAGAGAATATTTCTTAGAGCGGATATCTTTATAATTATCAGATTACTGGAAAAATGTATGGTTACAAAATATGTTTGTCTTCAGAAAAAAGTAAAATTTGCAATGAAAAATTTAATTCGGTCCAAGGGTTACGAAAATATGTTGAGTAACCGTTTTACAACTTGTCGCCCATATTTAAATATGGCGGCTAAACCAAATTCTTCATATACTCCTTCCTATAGCTGCCTAATACCGCTCTATAATAAAAATTATGGGACATATAAAACTGCACATTGCATAACAGTATTGATATGATATTTCCAAGAGCTACCAGATTAAACCTTCATCTAGCTGAAATGCTTGCCCGAGAAGGTGTTCTCCCTCTTTTTGTTCGGAGCGAAGGGAAACGATCAGCTTCCAACAGGCTAAGTTAACTGTTGCGTGACCAAGATAAGAGGCTTTCAGTTTATTAGGAAATAGCAGAAAGAGCAAAGTAACTAGCCAAGTCTAGGGAAAACCTTGCGTGGTTATCAAAGATACGATTTGTTTATACAAAGGGAGCAATTCGAATTTGAATAATATAATTATTGATTAGGTATTATGCGTGGAGCCTCACGCAGCAACTGGGCTAATAGAAACACAACCGGGCGAATGTACTGTGTGAAAGTTCATGTAAAATCATGGGTTTGTCTCCAGGTAATCTTAGCAACTGCTAATTCGACTCTAATGAACAGCTATTTTGAATGAATTTCGGCGATGTTCTTTTCTTTCTCGCCCAGTAGTGGGATTAGTAGCGGACAGGCCAAGTTTTTTTGCATTGCGTACTTAGATGATAGGATAAACATTAGTGTAGTCTCACATATTTTGATAGTAACATGCGAACCTGTCAGGTTAAATGTCGGTCGGAGCGATGTAATTTACTTTTAAAACATCGAACATTTGCTATACCAGGATATACATTGTGTAGCGCAATACAATTTCATGGACCTCGCGTTCCGTAATAAGACTTCGGATAGTTGTAAATTACGGTTTTCAACATCAAGTGGTATGGACTTGTTAGTTGAAAACGTAACCGGAGAAAAAGTTACCGGAGTTTTATCAGCCACTCCGTGGAGTGCGCGAACCAAGAGAGTGCGCGCGTTCTTGCAATGGAGAGGAACAAGGAAGGGCAGAGGCGAGCATCATAGACTATAGAACCTCATAGTATGTTGTTTCATCTAATCAGAGAAACATGAAATTCTATCAAATACTGTAATTGACAATACTAAATATATTCACTCAAATACGTTTACGTAAAGTTGGAAGTTATCGTAGACATGCGGCAAGGAAAGTTGTTTTTGGTGCTAGCATCTGACGGTCCTTTTTCCTCTTCAGTATAAGCATCCGTGCTCATTTTCTCTTGATTCGCGCGTTTTCCACAGGCAAGTCCATTCCATTTGCTCTTAAAAAGTGTAGTATTGATACGACGCGGTATGGGGATCAATGAGATTTTATCGCGGTACGCGATGTAACTGAAAAATTTTTCACTTTTTAAAAATTAACTCCGATAAACATTTAATCTGACAAGTTTGCATTTTAGCATCAATACGTTAGATTACAAGAAATATCGCGCCTTGAAGCAACGTTACCGAGGTATGGACTTCCAAGTGGGATAAAGGGGGCTTGCCTGAGAAATAAAGGCTTTCTTTTAAAAAGAGATTCTAGAATTGCCCAAACACAGCCGACTACTACCAATGATGGTCAGTAATAGATGTACTGAGCGTGGGCATGGCAAATCTTCTTTCGCAAGCTGTTGCAATTAGTATGAAGGTTCTTCCCGTTCAAGTGATTGCACACGCATTAAGGAATATCCCCTGGGAATACCGAATGGCACTAGATGTCCGCTGATGGACCATTTTAGTTCTATTAAACACCATTCATAAACAAAAAGAAGGTGGCAGACATGGACCTTTTGGCCGTGGCGGTACCATCTGTTAGTTTTTTTTTCTTTGCAACAAAAAAAATGATGATTGATCCATCGAGTACTGAAAATTCCGGACGTAAGCTCGATCCACTACTGAAATGTCCGTGTAAAATCTTACCGGGAAGTAATCCTCACCCAACAGAGCTTCTGGGCATGACTTGATTGCAACTATTGCGTCGAATCGCAGCGGACTAGTTATATCCGTCACGTAACCGCGGAGTAAACGGATAAAGTCGCATGCTGATGCTCATTTCGTTGCTCTTGATACCACGAAAGCTCATCTCTGTCCTACAATACCAATGCGGGTATTCCCCAGGGATCGGTTTTGGTCACGAGACTGTTTACCTTATATATCAACGACCTTCTCTGCGGTAGCATTCACAGTTTTGCTGACAACAGAACTCAACACGCAGGGGAGAAAAAAAATAGTAGCGACTTCCTCTGTGCCGAGAAATCCGGAAGTTATAACCGCTTGGACACGCAATACTCTGGTATAGTTGAATGCTTCCAAAACACAGAACTGCACCTACTAACAAGTAGCGCCCTAGTGCTCACCTGGTATCTATGCACGGCCGAGCTCTGCCAAAGAGCTATTCATTTCGGCTGGTCGAAGTCCAGATCACCAAGTACTAGAATTGGTACGAAAATATCTCCTCAATTGCAACAGATGCTGAGAAAGAGCTAGGTTATTCGTTTAGGGCTAAAAAGTATTAGCCTCGAGTACTGCTCGTTTTTTTGATGCGCTGCCGCTCAGACTACATTCCAGTCTATACTCGATGCTGTTCTGAAGAAGGTTGTTTCACTGATCATTGTAACTCCTGAGACCCTTTTGGGTTGGCCACAGCTGCGAGCCCCACGCCACTCGCGTCGCCCTGCCTACCACATTTGACAGCCAGAACTGCTTGTTAACACTCAGTGAAGGATTGTAATACTCAAGATAGTAGAGCAACAATTTCTTGTCAAAAATAACATCATCGTCGGGTTTTATTCTGTCTGCGAAAAGGCTCAGGATCATATTGTGGCGAAACCAATTTCGCTAATATTGGTGTCTGGGCATACGGAGATCCATGACAGTGAGATGACAAGGCAAGGGCCAGATGAGGTTACCCCTGATGTTATCTGATCCCTAGCCAACTGATGATGCCGTTGGGTGGATTAGTGTTTCCTCTGCAGAATCATTAGGAAAACATCACGTGTGGGAGTAGCGGAAACGAGGTAGTCTGTGAAACTAGCTTTGAAGGTTTAATCGATAAATACCGTCAACAGTAGTAGTCGGTATCATGGTATGGATCACAGGTTACATGCAAGTGAATATATTTTCCAGATCAGTCGAAACATGCTATAGCTGCTCGGATTTTACTAACTGTGGTCAATTGAAACCGATCAGTGTACTACTACACATCTCGAAAGTATTGGAACGCGTTGTTTACGAGCAGCTCTGCGCCTACTTATATTCTAACAAAATTATTCCATCTAAACAAACTGAATTTCGACAAGGTCATAGCAGAGCTTTGGCACTCTGTTATTTGACAGACAATATAACAATGGCGATTGACAACCAAAAATCAGTAGGTCTCAGTACTTTAAAAAAGGACATAAACATAAGTTTAAAATGTAATAAAATAGTACCTGTGGATCATTCGAAGAATCTAGGTAATACAATGACTTAAAATTTGATGAACACGTAAACTATCCATTTTCTCAGTGCTACGCTATTTTCAGAGTTGTATTTGCAAATATTTAAGGCTATATATATATATATATATATATATATACAGGGTGACTTTGAAGTTGAGTCATTAATTTTCAGATAATGATTGTAGAAGGATGATAAACCAAAATATGTGTGTAAAAATAAAAAAAAAATTTAAAAAATTGTTTACCTTGTTTTATAAAGTATCCTCCCGACAAGTATTTCAGTGGGGACCTGTATTTGATCGTGAGGTCCCCTGTGAGGTCTTAAGTCACCTGATTCACGAGCCCGTTGTACTACATTAATAAAGGCACGAGGGGTTGGTTGCACTCGATTGGGAAACCGATCCGCAAAAACATGTGCCATTTTTTATTTCGTTTGAGCCACGCAACAGATACCACTATTCACTGACACTGACTGTATACAAATGAATGAAATATGTAATTGTAAAAACATCGTTGAAAATTCTTTCGCTTTTTTGTTTCCGATGCGATGAACCAATACGGCGGATTATATCCGTTGTCGCCAAACACGAGGACATAATATTATTATTGAGACAGGGCGGTACTCAAACTTCCAAAGGGCTATAACTTTGTTACTTTAATTTTACCAGAAAAATGGTAAAGGAAAAAAACATTTCTTTTGATCAGATCTACTCACTGTTAAAATAAATGACTCAACTTCGAATATATATTACATGAATCGTTCTTGTTTTCAAAAATATCAGTTTGCTTAGTGGTTTACTATCCCTATTTAGGTATATTAGAACAAGAAATCGTATTCAAGGTCATTAATGACATCAAATGGATGAAAATTGATAAAATGTATAACAACCAGCTCCTAAGTCTGACTCTTAGGGTTCTTTACTCAGAACATTGTGATATTTAGTAGCTGAATTTATACGTGGAGGAGATCTGCATTGCATTAATATTAGATATAGAGAGACTTTTGCAATTAAACGCCACACATCTTTATTTCAGAATACATATTTACAAAGCGATCAAATTATATAATTCCTTAGACCGTAGGTCAAAAGAAACTGATTCATTATCTAAATTCAAGAAAAAAGTGAAAGAAATTCTACTTGATCAGCAGCTAAGTCTGTTGTAACCCTTAAGTGTTAACTGACCTTGTGTTTTCTTTATGTCTTTACATTGATTATACTTTATTTTGTCGTCATTGTATACAAGTATCAATTTTCAACAAATTTTCAGTTTACATACGTCTCATATTGTTAAGGGGGTTACGTGGTAGAATATATTATATAGTATCCAACTCTCGCGTCCTGTGATATGATTCGAAAAAAAGACGTTAATTATTAATTGGCTGAATGGTCAGCAAAAACTAAAAGATACTTAAATCTCTCTGCACTAAAACTAAAAACATAGCAGCTCAGTAAATACTTTGTCGTCAAAATCGCTTCCCGTACTTTGGTCGATTGTCGTGTTAGTGTGATGGTACGATTCCACCAAAATAGTGTTCAGCACATTTGTTTACAAACATTTTGTGTGAAACTCCAGCATTGAATGTGCTCACTGGTATCGAATTTATCTTCTGTGTCCACCGGCAAAGCAGTGCATAACTTTTGTAAGCGTACAGTGTAGCACACTTGTGCACGAACATGTTTACCAAGCAAAGTTCTCACTAACTTCAGTTCTTAATATGGATGGGCGGGAATACGTAGTGTTTTGTGCTGCAGCTTGTGTTTTAATAGGTAGTCTGCTTAAACAGAAACGAAGAAGAAAACCACGATGTTGGGTGAGGCCTTTTCTGCAGCGATGGAATGAAGAAACGAATAGATTTGTAGAAGAAATAAAAGTAGATCCCTTAAGTGGATTTAAAATTTTACTCGTATATCATGTGAAGGTTTTGAGTTGCTGATCAATGCACTTAGTCCACATATTGCAAAGCAAGACACCAACTACAGAAAATGTGTCCCTATTTCAATAAGGCTTATTTATAGCTTTTATTGCCCAACAGATAATATTCCATTTATAGGCCAAAATCTTAAATTAGAAATATTACAAAAGCCTAACTTATAAAACTATCTAAGGCGCTCCCGCAGAACACAATTTAGCTCCGGAATAGAACATAAAAATATGTCACAAAACTTACAAATACTATTATAATTCAAACACATAGCCCTTTCAGGTGATTTCAAAATCAAATTTGTGTTAGCACGACTGCAAAAGAAAGTAACATTACATCTTGAAACAATAGGAAATAACAAATAATATATCTGAAAACCCCGAACCTGAAGATTTTGAATCCGCTATTTTTTTCTTTTCTCTTCGGTACTGAGCCAAAATAATTTTCCTTTTTCTCATTACCTCAGTCGAGTCACAATTGAAACTTTGAGCCAACTCTTGAGTGGCGTCGTGTTTTTACAATCATGGTGACTGGAATCCCATAGAAGAGGATAAGTTTCAATTGCTTGAATAAATTTTATAATCCTATCATTCGTCCAGTCCATTTTAAATTTCGTAAAAGAAGTGCGCGTACAAACAAATGTTTTCACTCCAGGAGTGGAAGCAACACTTTGTTCGCGAACAACAAGTATGTACGCGCCGACGCGAGTCCACTGCTTGTATGTGCGCGCACAAAAGTAACTGATGTGTGCGCGAACGTTTCCGAAATGTTCGCGCACAATTTGCTATTGTTTGCGTGAGTGAGTCGACCAGAAGAAACATTTGTGCTGTACACTGTGCATTAGAGTGCCGCACAGTTCAGCACACTGGTGGAATCGCATCTTGACATATAAAAAAGCAACACAACTCATAATAATGAAACATGAACCAACATAGCTGGTTCGCAATGTCGCCGGAGCAAACATGCTGCTGTTTGTTTCAACACCG